TCAATGCTTACACTGATCTCTACTGACAGATCTGCATAGATACATTGTGTGTACTGCAGCACCACGAACAGAATAGGGCTACAAACACCAGCATCCCTGACTCGGTTCAGAACATCCCTGCACGGAAACTGAAGGTCATGGGGGGGGGGGGCCTGAACTGTTCACTTTTACACTTTTGAGTATTTTTACCCTGAGCGCTCCTTTAAGTTTAAGTCTTGTCAATCACCCTTTCTATTATGTCTGTAGTAGTATTACTGACAAAAACTTGCAGTTCTGTGTCCACACAGCCTTTTCTTTGGGTACTCCAACATACTCCAACATATTTTATGCCAAATTTTAACTTAACTCTACCTGATAACCCACATTATCTTAATTGAAAGAGCAAACATTAACCAAATCTAACAGATGAGCCTTCATTAGTTTTAGAAATTGATAGATAAAATGTTAGAAGGAAAATATACTCTTTTTTTGAAAACAGAGAAATCTGAATGGCCAGCAACTGAAAATCCTGTTAAAAATAAATCACTACTGGCTTCATCCAATATTCTTGTTTAAGAGCCAAAGTGATGAAGGGGAGAGAAACTCTGTGAATCACCGACACAGGGAGGCTGGAGTGGGAGGTCTCTCAGGCCCAAGAATATTTCTGGTTGTCAGAGGCTAAAAAGATTATTTATTGTTTCCTTCCTAAACCCAGCTCCACTGCCACCTGTTCAGAATTTACTATAAAGCTGTTAAACAAGACGAGAACTTTGATGCTAACTGTGAAAACAAGTTTCAGTGTATCTGACCCGAGCAGCACTCACTGCTGATCCAGAAGCAAAGGAATTTGATTTTTTCTTTAGGCACAGCTATCTTTTTACCTTTATAAGCTGTTTAAAAAATGTAAATAAAATAACTCAGTGGACAATAGAGGGCATTTATCCCCCAGAAAGACAGCCGCCACCCTTAGACATGAAATATCGCAGCACATTAAGTCATGAGACCCCGCTAATCAAAGCTGACAGGGCCCTGAATGTGATTTCTGCTGAGACTTAGCGATATCATGGGGCACTGAAGCATGCACAGTCTGCCAGACTGCCCCTGTTCATGTGACAATGGCTTTTATTCCCCAAAGGGGCCTGCGAGTGACAAGAGTCCCCTTTGTCTCTGGGCTCCCGCATTCGCAGTGCAAGAGAGGTTCATTCAAGCAGCCCCAGACACTCTTTGAAAGGCTGAAGTGTAACATAAGATGACCATGAAACACTAGCTTGCCTTCTGCCTAGCCCTCATTCTTCTCCAGCACAGCCTGGCCTATTCAAGGCCTCTCGCAGCCCCGCTCGCGCTGCATTACCCCCGGTCTGCTGAATCCCGGCATTGTCCCAGCGGCACGGAGAGCCCTCCCCGTGCCGAGACACCGGGGCCCTTCACACCCCGAGAGAGACACCGGG